CAGCTCACTTAGTCTTTCCTCATATGACAAATGCTGCAGTCCCTTAATCACGTTCATTGCTCTACACTGGACCCTCTCTAGAAGCTCAATGTCCCTCTTGTATTGGGGGGCCCAGAACTGCACCCCATACTCCAGGTGCGGCCTCACCAGAGCTGAGCAGAGGGGCAGGATCCCCTCCCTCGAGCTGCTGGCAACGCTCCTCCTGCTGCAGGCCAGGATCCCATCGGCCTTCTTGGCCATGAGGGCACGTTGCGGCCTCATGGTTAACTTCTTGTCAGCCAGGACTCCCAAATCCCTCTCCGCGGAGCTGCTATTTTTTCAGCTAAAGAAAAATGAGTTAAATTTTTAATTCTACAGTATCAAATTATTTGATCTTCACAAGTAACATTCCTTCTGACCTGTTACTAACATTAAGGAGTGCTGTAACTCACCCACACAAATAACAATTCAGCACTGGCTGGCAGTTGAAATGTGGGTTTGGCAGGGGGAGGCAGAAGGAGAGACGCTTTATTTTAGGTTCCCAAATCAAACAGACATATGCACACACACTTGCTTTCCTACACAAATTAGAAAATGTAAATCAAGGGGAACAATTTATTATAACAACAAAGGTCAGACAACAGAGAGCTCGGATATAAAATTGTCTTTGACATCAGCTCTGAAAGATCTTTCTTGTGCTCAGAGTGGCATGGAAAGAATAACAAAGATGCAGTATCACAGCAGAGATTCGGTGACTGAAGGACCCAGTGATAAGGACAAAATTGTAGCTTGAGACAGAATATAAAATGAAAAAGTAGTTGATCAATAATGGGCCAGGCCAACGACTCCAGTTACAGTGTGTCAAGGACTGCTTAGGAGAGGGCAAGAAGGATGCTCAGAAAGTCAGAAAAAAGAAGGCATCTCCTCTATCATCCTTCCTTCACCTGGCAGAAGGCAACTAGCCAAGTACAAATATTTATTTGTCATTAAATGTATTACAACAAATTATAGTTATTTTATACACAGTATTATCAGGAATTTTAAAAGTAACTTGAATCACCATTTTTTGCGGGGTCAAAAAAGTAAACATTTTAAGGATACATATCTGCATGTAAGCTCAACAGAGGAGTAACTGAAAGAACCCATTAATGGAAAGAAAACTCACTATTAAGACAGAAGGACTTGTTAGTTAGTATGTGGAACTGCTAGTACAGACGGTGCCCCAAAAAAGTATTAATCATAAAAGGGGGCACCTCAACACAAGCACAGTATACTCAACCAACAAAATATATATTCAAGCAGAAGCTTACATATATATTCAAGCATCCTTCCCATAGTTAGATATCCATACTCACAAGTGAACTGATCTAAGCAGCTCTACAAACCGGGTCTTTGCCCATTTAATCTCAAAAGAGCCAGGGTTAAAGAAGCATTTTAAAAAGGGATAGAAAAAAGAAACAGCAGCACAGTCAGTGTCATCTAAGTGAAACCTCTAGCAAAGTCCCCAGTGCTATACACAAAGAGCAGCCCCTGCTCAAGAAATATGTAATGTTACCTCCTCTGGGAAGCGCTTAACCCCGTTATGGAGATGATAAACCACAGCAGGGAAGTTAGCCCACTTGCCCAAGGACACCCATAGTATTTTGGCTAAGTGAGAAACAGAACAAGAATTTTCTTTTCTTTCTTTTTTTTTTTTTAGTTCAAACAAAAAACTCTCTCTGTTGATGTGCTGCTAGTACAGAAGACAGAGTCAGCACCATGTCATGCAGTTTTCTATACTCCAGTTTAAAAAAAGAAAGCAAAACAGATGGTGTGTGCAACAGAGTTGCTCAGCAGGTGAGAGTCAGAAAAAGAAGAGAAACTAAGAGAGAAAAGGCTACATGCCTTTATTTTTATTTGCAAGAATTTAGGGTCTGCATCATCTCTGGAAAATCTCAGACTGTAAATAACAACATTTAGTATGTGCACTGTCTAGGCATGCCATTTCCTCTGTGAGACAATCATTTTCAAAAACACCTTTATTCATTTCTTGTAAAATGACATGATACAATCAATGAGCTGTAGACATCTTTATCACATATGCTTTTTGTGGCTTCTGTAGTCCATAGTCATTAGGGCTCCCTTGAAGCAGGCATCTGGGGTGAAAACAAAAATAGGCCATAGCCACCCTTACCTCCAAGGCCATCTCCAGAATCAACCTCATAGATGCTTTCGCCTTCCATGTTGTCTGCAGGACCCAGCAGAAAGCAAGATCTCCCCCAGGCGATTTGCTCTGGCTCCAGAAGAAAGCTGAATCCACCCACTCTGCAGCCAGCAAGTGGTATCTTTCAAACAAAAACAAAAACAAAACAAAGCCATTGATCCACTTCTGTTAAATATAGTAGAGGTAATTTAATTTTCTCCCTGAACCCCTTAGTTTTCTAGATGGTGTGTCAACTAGCTCCACATCTAATATCCCAGCTTCTTATTTTGGATCACTTCGTGTTATATCTACATGATTTTTTTTCCATTTGCTTGTAAATTCAACCACCATTCACACTACAACACCCCTATCCCACATAAGGAGGTTGGATCACCCAAATTCCAGAATTATATTGAGGGAGAAAGCCTCAGCACAGACCCATTCATGTGGCCTGAAAGGACTAGGCGTGGGCAAAACTGAGCAATTTACCACCCATCCCCAGGATTAGCTCATCTTTGGCACACTGTGCTTGCTCTGAGCCCAAATTACATTCAGGTTGCAATCAGCAAAGCAGTCTGAAAGCACACAGATTGTGTGGGTTGGATTTCTTAAGCCTACTCTTAAGTTAGGCAGAGAGAGCATCTCTGTTTAGCAGTGAACTTGATTTGCAGATGGGTGTAAAGAAAAGTGTAAAGATGAGTGCAGAGAAAAGAACAAACAAACCCTTTAGTGTGTTTAAAAGAAAGACAAAAAGAAAGCAAATTCTCTTCTCCTTAAACTGAGCCTGAATAACTACTTGCCTTTCTATTACTATGTTTCAGTGTAGCTGCTTTTTTACCACATTCTTCTGTTTTTGCATAAAAGAAAAATAACTCTCAATGAATTTTAAAAAACTACTAATGACTCAGGAAACACCCACGCATCGGTGCCTTGGGGTGAAGAGACAAAAAGCAATCAGAAAAGCATGGAGTTACTAGAGTAGTCTTGGAGCAAGCAAAGAACTGCCACGCATCAGATGCTCATGATCCAAACAGCAAAGCAAGAATGAACTCCACCACTCATGTGTAAGATTTGCAATCTGGTTAGTTTTAAAACAAAGGAAAACAGAAACCAAAACCCATCCGAAGGGAACACAGAGTCTGTCTCTGCCACATATGAAGTAAGACAGGTCAAGAACACAAAACACGATGAGAGGATGATGATCAAATACATGAATGATGTGATTTACGAAACACAGGTCAGGTACCATGAATAAATTAGAGCTAGTTATGGAGCAATGTGTTGGCTGTCTCCTTGCCAGGTTCAAATGAGTAAATACCAAGGAATTTTTACATGCAAATCTGTGGCTTTCTTTAGACTACTTCCAAATTGTCCCATGCCGCAGCATTTATTGAGAAGGCAGAAAAGGGGAAAAAATATGCATCAACATGAACTGCCCCAAATGTTTTATTTTTTTCCATCTCCCTTCTAATTTCCTACCATCAAGAAAGCAGTAAATATTAAAAGCAGTAAATATTAAAAGCAGTAAATATTAAAAATACACTCTATTCAATACATCTCAATCGAAAATCAATAGTTCAAGTATTATGTCATTTTGTTGATAAAAAGAAGCGCATACCTAGAAGCTTCACACCAGGTGACCTCTACATCTTCAGCTTCTTCAAGCATCTCTCTCAGCTTCTGCATGTTTTTGTCGATTTTCCTCTGGTTGAGCCAGTGCAGGTGAATGCCATGTAAGAGAGCATGCATGGCACTGCAAAACACTCATCAGACTTTCCAGGGAGTGAAAATGGTAGCGTAGCCCTCTTACACTGCTGATGCATCCCGTTAAACTCATACCAGTGATTCAAGGTGTTCTTCTGAATCAACAGTCATGTTTTTTTTCAGAAGATGGGCCACTGTAATTTGCTACAGACTGAAGACTGAGAAAGGATCCTGGATGCAATGCTGATTCTTGCTGATGAAGTATCCATCGGAAAAAATAGTTTGGTAAAAAAAAAAAAAATACTTTATAAAACATGAGCATACTTACCAAATAAATAATGGGAACATAGTGGCTATAGTATCAAGCTCTGGCTGAACAGTCATACTTGCAATACGCAGGTTTCAAATACTGATCTAGGATATCCACAAGAACATTAGCTGTTATAGTTCTTCTTTATAAAAGCAAATGCCATAGAATCATAGAATGCTTAAGATTGGACGGGACCTCTAGAGATCATCTAGTCCAACCCCCCTGCACACGCAGGGTCACCTAGAGCACGTGGCACAGGACTGCGTCCAAGCGGGTTTTGAAGATCTCCAGAGAAGGAGACTCCACAACCTCTCTGGGCAGCCTGTTCCAGGGCTCTGTCACCCTCACTGTTAAGGAATTTTTCCTTAAGTTCCTGTGGAACTTCTGGTGTTTCAGTTTGTGGCCATTACCTCTAGTTCTGTCGGTGGCCACCAGTGAAAAGAGGCCAGCACCATCCTCCTCACTGCCTCCCTTGAGGTACTTATAGACACTGATTAGATCCCCTCTCAGCCTTCTCTTCTCCAGGCTGAACAGGCCCAGCTCTCTCAGCCTCTCCTCATAGGGCATCAAACAATGAGTACTGGATTCCCATGATGAAAAAAGCTCTGTAGCTGTTATGGGATTTAGTATGATTTTTACAAGACAATTAAGTCAGATGAACAAATTCCCATAATTTGAGACAGTGAAATTGAGAAGGTGAATTTGAGAAGAGCTTTCAAATGAAATAACTATTCTTGCAACTTTGATTTTGGAAAGATCTTCTTTTTCTGCTCAGATCTTCTCATCAACCCCGGGTTTTATGAAGAACACATTAGTCCTCTGGCACAGTGATAATGGATAAAGAACATAACTGCTGACTAAAGGATGCTGTTCAGTGTCTCGAAACTAAACACTGTATTTTTATCCAGGCTTTATGCCTATCTGGTTCCCATGTTTGGCATAAATACCTACCTCTATGCCTACCTAGACATGTCTAATGTGTTTATCTATCTGTATACAAAAATGTGTGTCCCTCTGAAAATTCTGTGCAGCGTCTCACTTTGTGCTGGAATAACAGACTAAATGAAGCCTGGACTCCTTTATCAGTCCCAGGTTTGAAGACATTCACTGCATAGGGTAGATAGAAAATAGCTTTTCAGTGTAGTTACTGTACTCAGAGTCTTCTTCACCTAGTTAGAAAATTACTGCTATTTTATGGGAGAAAAATGAGACTTAAAAAGGAGAAACAGAAATAAATCTTTTAAAATGATTTATTAATTTACATTTATTCCTTCTGAAACACATTAATGGCTCCTTCTTTATTCTATGTTTTCTGTGCCTTCCCACTTGGCATCTGCACAATTGTTGCTTTTAATAGCATTTCACTCACAGAGAAACCATATTGGGGGAGGGAGGGAGAGAATAAGAACCATGCTATTGTTCTGGTCCCTGGCTAGGAGAACTTTTTAATTAAAAATTGAAAACAGAATCATGCAGCAGTACTGACATCCACAGTTACTCAAATATAATCACAGCGGCAGGGGAAAACCCTGAGGTGGGGGGCTCAGTGCAGAACTGCTTCACACTTGGCTGTGTTGGCCCTTAGCCTACCCTCTTCTATGTGAAAGGGAAAAACGAAAGGGTTAAAAATATTACCCTTACCACAAAGGAAAAATTCTACAACAGCAATGAAGAATGGGTAATGAATGAAACTGTCACAAAACAGATAGGATGCAGTTTGATATTTTTGAAATTGCAGAGGATTTAAAATCTACATTTCCAATAGGTTACTCCAGTAGTTTTGGTCTTATAGTTTCATTTTGTTGGCAGCATTTACTTCTCTCTCATCCAAACTCTTCCCCTTGCTCACATCATGTAACAGATACATCCCCCCACCATCGCGCCAGAGAAAAGCCACCACGGCTAAACCATCACTGGTGCCACCAGCTGCTCCTTAAAGATGATGAAAACAAAGATACATTTGCTTAAATTTTGTAATCTGAAGTCTTTGTCAGTTATTGGGGAAGTTGTTCCTTGTGCTATGGGTACGACCTGCTAAAAGAGGCTCAGAGAACAATCTTAGCAAGACCAGATGTCCACAACATCTGCCTAAGTGTGGTCCACCGAACCACCCCGGAATGGGCAAAGCAGGGGCTGGCAGGAGGGTGAAGTCAAGAACGCGCAACCAGAGATTGTGCATTATTTTATTTTATTTTATTTTATTTTATTTTATTTTATTTTATTTTATTTTATTCAGAGAGGTTAAAGAAGCCTTACTGCTGTTTTAAAGATATGCCAAGGAGTTACATTGCCAAAGGTATATGCAGATCAGTAAGGAGAGCCACGGATGCAAATTACTTGTTCATTAGTTCCCTTCCCCAGCCCAGTGCCTGACACCAGGCGCTGTACAGTGAGCAGCACGGAGGCTGCACGTGCTACCTGTTCATTTGCTCTGAAATCCCATACACAGGAAGAATTTTCAGCCATAGATAGACAGGTGATCTCTGTTCTTTCAGAGCTGCATCTTTTTGAAAAGATCTTATCAGCCCTTATCAACCCTTAGGCTGCAGAAATTGTTGTCTCCTTTTCTTCTTTTCTTTCCTTTCCTTAAAAGCACAAATTGTGTCACAGAAATCAAGTATGATAGGAAATGATATTAATATTTACATTTATACGCTTGAAACCTTCAGAGAACTTTAAACGTTTAACTCTCCATTCAAAGTTAGAAATCTCCTCATAGAGTTTAGGAGAATTTGCACCACGTGCTTGGATATGGAACATGCCACAGACAGAATCCCAAAGAAAGTCCAGCGTGAGCACGGTAGCTCACTCAGCTGCATGCCTACCAATGCCCAAACTTCTGAGCTGGACATAGACAGAACTTCCCTAGACTTCCCCAACTGCTTGGGATAAATCCCAGGGGATCTTTTTAGGTGGTCTACCTAAAAGCATTCATCCCCTCAGGCTTTTCTCTTTTCAGACCATCTTTCTTTCTTTCATGGCACAAATAGCAAGACTGCTTCTCTCACCCTGGTCGCCAGCCCTTTGTGTTCTGTGTGTTCAAAATAACATTTTTTTCAATATTTTGCATTAGCTACACTTGGAGAATGCTTGCATATGACATACTGGACATGAGAAGAAGGTGACTG